TTTTTTTACAGGAGAGTGACTTTAACCCTCTGATGGCTCTGATTAATTCCACTCTTGCATACCTCTCTTTCTCACACACACTGTACGTCTTTCTCTTTTTTGTAATCGTAGTGCATTGCCTATCTCTCTCTACTGGTTTGCTTTCTCATTTCACTCCCTTTCTGTCTGTCCCCTCTCTGCTCTTTTCTTCTCTGTTTTACTGAGAGATATTTATGACACTGACCTTTTCAGCAGTAAGCTGAAAGTTAAATACACCATGCTCTCTATTGATCTTGTGCAAAGCAATTAAAAGTCTGTATTAATATGAGAAGAAAGCTGATAGAAAATCATTTCACTTGCTGGATGACACATAGGCCTGTGCCTCACTACATGATTGCCTATAGGGAAGGTAAATTATTTTTATATGGCTAAATCAAATTCCCAACAGCCTAAAATGTTGGCTATATTGAATTTGGGCTTCTATATTGAATATCACAGGCTGTCTGTGGATTGGCTATTAAATCCAGGTGCTGTCTGGTGTGACGGTCATGGTTAGTTTGGTCTGGAAACTGCAACCCAATTCTCTTCGGTGTAGTATGTCTCTCAGATGCACCGTTGTGGATGTGAGGAAGAGAGAGATGGAGGGGAATTTTTAGGAGAAGGATGATTCTGGCCATCTTGTCTCGAGGAGTCCAATGATGTGAGTCATTGGAGTGTAGCAAGTTTTACACCAGCACAATCAGCTGCTAGATGGGGAGCCATGCCTGTCGACTATGGAAATTAGCTATTGACATCCTCTGTCATCTCTGAATGTGTGCTGGCGATGAAGAGCTCTGGATCTGTCATGGCAGTTTCATTGTTCCCACAACAGCCTAACTTGCAGAATTTTATCCCTCTAGACTTTTGCAGACGTTTGTCATTGAAATTGCACTATTGATCTGCTTTTGATCTTTATGCTCCTCCTTTTTCTATCAGAATATTGAACTAGATTTAAAATCCTACTCTCCCAAACTTATCTGTGCATTCATTTGTGCACCGTCAGCTGCCTTGCCGTGGACGTGTGTTTATTTAACTGTGGGGATGGGGATACTTAAGGCAGAAATGAAACATTCCTGAGGCAGCTCTGTTGACTACACACACCTGCTCTGTGACACTGATGGAGATGACAGAGCTGCAGGAGTGCCTAGAGGTCAGTGTGCTCTCAGTTCCTCTGCCACTTGGCAACGTCTGCCATCCTGCTATAAGGAAGTGTCACTATTGATTTGTGTCAATGAGGTGACAACACTGCAGGGTCAGGCCACTACAAGAGCACACAATCTACATTCAAGTGCAGATATCTACTACACCCTTCTGTATGTGTGCAAACAACTAGAAACAAACATTTTAGTTCATCCTTGTTTCTTTAATCAGTCTGATCCTCTGCCTTCTTACTGTATATGCAGAGAAGGCGAGGAAGTGAGTACACACAACACTCAAAGCCTTTACACACAGTTTGCCATAGAGCAGATGGTGATGGCCTTTAAACAGAGGCCCCATGCATTGAGAAAAGCATCAGATCAGAGAGAGAAGGAGGCACTATTCTCCTGTGTCTCATTTCATCCAATATTTTTCAAGGCTGATACAGTGCTTTTTTTTATGGAGTGGCCTCTGTGGAATACTGAATGAGAGAAGGGAGATAAACGAACGCTAGACTTATGCTTTCTAGTTCCATCAGCCTAGCAAAATAAAATCATCTATTCCGAGGTGACCGGGGCTTTTGCTTCATCTCCCCTGGAACCTTCATTCTCTTTCATTCGAGGCATATTATTATCAGAAAAGAGGCATCCTTGGATAATTTCAATTTACCACAGAAAAAAAACCGCTTTGTGGTGTGTTTGGCACCAGGGTGCTGCTTCACATCTTTTTCCTATTAAATAGATGAATTCATTGCGAGGGACAGCAGTGTTTGATCTAAAGCTAAAATGCTAACATGCTCACAATGACAATGCTAACATGCTTTCATTGATCGGTAAAATATTTACCATTTTCAAAATTTTAGTATAGTGTGTTAGCCTGTCAACATTTGCTTATTAGCACTAAACAGGCTGAGATGTTAGAATGTCTGTAGTTTTATCCAAGACTGTCCGGTTGCCCTTGGTTTTAACCTTCCTTGGATAACTATGACCAGGATGACTGAGAACCTTCACAAACGTCTGTAGTTATGCAAGTATTTAGCCATAAACCAAAGTATTGCAAATAAAAATGTGTCAGTGTACCACTTGTTCTTACAATTCATCCTGAGGGAGACATTAATGTCTGTGCCAAATCTGTTAGCTGTCTACTGAATAGCTGTTGAAACATTTCACTAAAAACCACAAATGTGGATCCGATGATGGCCTTGAAGAATAAGTGTGGAGATCACCACTGCAGGATTCATCATCCGAGGACCATGGGGGCCAGAGCGATGCCACTATAATGATAATTTATTTAAATAATGACTAGATAAAGTGTAAAAAACATAAATTTAATTTGAGGTTTTAAAAAATCAGGAAGAAAACCAATGGTGCACATCTTCAAAACACATCTAAAACTTGGCCTCTCCAAAAACTTTGCAGAACGATATAATAAAGGAGCAAACACAGAAAAATATGTTGACAAGTAGTGTTCTGCCTTTCCATCGGAAACCACCTTAACACCCTCTTGTAATGCCAGAGCAAGGTACACACAAAATGTTACGCATTTTTGTCTTATGTATAGTCTCCTTAGCCTAGAGGTATCCTTGGATAATCTCTTTTATCCATTAAAAAGTTTTGTCCTTTGGTATACCAACCTACCAGCACCCGAGCAACCACATCAAACACCTAAGCCTAGCCATCTCCAAACACCCTAACACCCTCATTTAATGCCTTAGCAATGCAAGAGCAAGGTACAAAAAAAAGTTACGCATGTTTTCTTATTCATAAGCATTGGCATTCTTGCCAAGATAGGCATTGTTTTAAATCAGATCTGTTTTAATATAGCCATATTAAATACAGGTAGATGTATTGATTGCACATTTGTAATTTGACATGTGCACACATGAGTGTCAAGGGAGTGCACAAAGGTGATTTCAACCTGAATGTGGAAGGACACAGGAATGATGGAGGTGAAGGAACAGATTTTTCCTTTTCCCCTTTTCTCCCCATTGTTTGATGATTAATCGAAACCCATTAGTGTGGAGCCGAGGCCAGTGAATTCAGTCTTAATTAGTTTCTTTTTTTACCCCTCATTCTCCATTGCTTTGACATGGGGTACGGATTATCTACAAAATGAAGGATTGGCAAACTGCTTATCTGATTTTGCTGTTAGTCTCTTGCAGCTGGTATTATTGCTGTACTGTGCAGTATCAGGAGGCTGGTACCTCACCTGGGGCTTTAAAATGCACTGCTTTATGTGAAACCAGATGCCCACACACGCACATACACACAGTCATTCATTTAGCAAACTCAGCAGAAGGACATTTAGAGGTGGTGTAGTGGTATTCAGTCTCTAAGCTCAGCTCTCAGTGGAGGTTAGATCTGTTGGGAGATGGACATGCTGAGATTTAGCAAGTAAATCCCCCCCTCACCAGGCCTCCAGGATCAATGGGTTCTTTGTTATGAGCGTAGCAAAGAAGCGACACACCCACCACACACACGACACAACACTTAATTAAAAAGATCTGACAGAGATACTGTACTCTGACATAGTGTCTACCCCTGACCCCACTACAAATATCTGAACCCAGGGTGGAAATAGGTTAAAGTAGTGTAATTGAGGAGGAGGCAATCCATCTAATCCTGCCATTGTCAGCACTCGCCCTTCCCCTCTTCCCCTTTCCTTATATTGCTTTTGCACTATTCCAATGGGAAGATTATAGACCTGTCAGCAGTGGCTGGTCCTTATTTATATTTTGAAAGACTAAAATATGCTTAGTCAGCAAATTTTGAAAAGCTTCATGGGGAATACTCTACTTCATAATTTATGACATGGTATACCCTTTATGACTATATTCTGTACAAATACTTAAGTAGCTAATTAAAAAGTCCCAAGCAAATTAGAATTATTTGGCACAAAGCCTGTTATGTTTGTATGAGCTTAAATTAAGAGGAAAGTATAGACAAAAAACTCTGCCCATCTCATTACTGGGAAGTGTCTGAGCTTCCTGTCATAGCAGGATTCTCTGACATCGCTTCTGCTTTTTTTCTTACTTCACACCTGGATATTGGCACCCACCTCTCGGCTCTAAATCCATGAAAAGCCTTTTTGTTGTCACAGTCATTCCAGCCAGGTGCTGCAGACTTCATTTTGATGTGAGGGACAGCTTACAGGATTTAGTAGTTGTCACATGTAATTGTACAGAGCCAAAGATAAAATGACAGACTTTTTTATTCCCTTCCCCCTGGTCCTTTGGTCTAGTTTTGAATGTACTGGTCGTGAGAGCCACTGGGTTTTTGTGGACTTGTTTGTGCGGCCAATGTCACTCTTCACTGAGCTGTGCCACTACTACTGCCATGTAAATGGATTTCACATGAAGAGGAACTGTGGCAAGCTAGGTCAATGACAAAGATGGTATCTAAACATGGTGCATAAGCATTAAAGCAGCCTGGATTAGGAGTTTTTAAACTGACATTGTTGAACTAGTAGCTCCCTGTTAACCTTGCCCTTGATATGACAGTAACAATAGTGAGTTTTTCTGACAATACAGTTGTGTCGTTCAGCCAGAAGTGGACAGCTGGGCTTTGTCAACCTTTTGGGTGTTGGGTTACCTCAGAGAAAGACTCTTCTGACTGCTAATCTTTTATTAAGTAACACAGTCTTGGCTGTGACATTTACATTCTCTCTTCCCAAGCCAATTAAGCTCTTGATATGCTGGGTTATTATCACCAGGCCAATAATGGAGATTAGCAAAAGTCACCTCAGTTATTCTGACTGTGTCTTGCTCTCAGAAGGTCATCGATTGCCATGATCCTTTTTCACAGTATGTGAGCAGTCTCACATCTCTGTCCTTTGTGTTCCTCCAGACCTGCGGGAGATAGTATTCGTCCTCCAGAGTCAAAGCAACTCATTCCATGTGGGGCAGGCAGAAAGACGGAGAGCAGATTTACTGAAGCAGGCACACAGTCTCACAGAGGTAAGATTCAAGGCTCACCTTTCACTCCTGCACACTTTTTGGTATATGAGGAGTACATACCTTTTAGGAGAAATCTGTGTAGGTCAAAATCATCACTAGGAGTAAAAGTCGCACCTGGATGAGTTGTTGTAAACTGTGTATGTTGCCACATGGTGTCAGCACAGATTTTTTAATTATTCAAAAACTTTGCATCTTTTTAAATGGAAATCCATTTGGTACACATAATATGATTTCATTACATAGAAATAAAGCTTTCCATTTGTTACAGTATGACTCAATTCTTAAAAATTTTAAATATTGAGTGATAGTATGAATAATTATTCATGGCACCCTCCAGATTAAACCTCTAAAGTACATTAAAGTCAGAGTTATGAAAGTGTAGTTTGAAATATGCAACATTCTCAGCTCCTTGTGACAGCAAATCATGTGCTTACTTATAATTTTATGTATTTAGGAAATCCAGACATTTGTGTAGCTTTGATGTTCAGCGATATATCACTCTTCTCAACAAGTCAACCTTTCATTTCAGGCCTCTTATTGGTACATTTTTAATAAGAAGTGACGATCATCCAAAGGCATATGTTCATCTTAATAAATATTTTAATTCCTGACTATAATTCCATTATTCCAAAAAAAAGATTGAGGAAAGAAAAAAAGATATTTTCTCCTGGGATTTAATTCAATTAGTAACATTAGTGTAAGCACTTCAGCACCTTGTCATAGGAAGCAGATCTCATTTACAGGTCAAAATGTCTTTTGCTTCTGTTCATTAAAGCCAGATAAAATGCAGCATCACTAATGACAATATTACAGTAAGTTAGATGAAGAAACTGCTCTCCATTAGGATCTCCTACTTGGGTTTATATTTCTGTGGTCTTGAATTTCTCGTTGTTGTCTCAGTCTCTCTCTGCCACTGCTGGATGTCACATACCTTCCATCGACATTATTGACTGTCTGTTCCAAACTGAGAGGAAAAAAATATATATAAATAATCACAGTGAGTCATTATCTCTCTCTTCAGTGTGCAAACCATTTAAATACCATGCTCTTGGAAATGTACTGGACATGATGTCTTTTTTAGTCTTGTGTTTGTGTACAACAACCCTGAAATCCTGCACTCCACCTTTAAACAATACAAAATCCAAAATAAGAATTGTGTAAAGAAAAGCTCACTTCCTTATTTTATTGTTACTGATATTAGATCAAATCAAATCAAATTTAGTCCACAACAAAAAAACATTGTTTCATGTTTCCTGTAATGAAATGTGATGTGCATGTTTGCCAGTCGATACGATTTGTCATGAAAAGATTTAGTTACACTAATGGTCATCACCTTTTAGCAGACAGACTTTATGAATACCACATCATGTTATGTTTGCATTTATGATCACTCATTTTCAAATTGCCATTTTACAATAGATTTTTCATTACAATATCCAATTTATTTTTTGAGTTTCCTTTTTCTTTTAATAATGGCCTGCTTATTCTACGTAGTATAATATAGCCATATCCATTCAAGTAAGAGCAGTAATTTATGAAATATCATGTCATGCTGTGTTAAACAGCCATGGAGCCATACCAAAAACTGAATGGCTTGTTTCTTAGACCATGGCCCGGCTGTACACAAAATGTCATAGATATCTGTTTTTGAGATAAAAAGCAAACAGGATTGTTTTTTCTCTGCCCCCAAGCCCTCCTCCCGGTTCTCTTACAGGTTTCGTTGCTTTCTGCAATTGGTGTTTCCCTCTGCTATTTCCTGTTGTCCCCACCCCCCATCACCCTTCTCTTGCAAGTGTTGTCCTTTCTCTGAGCTGTCTGTTTGTGCTGTGTTTGTGCCACCCATCCCCATGTCTGCCCCCCTGTCCGGCCCGGTGACAAATCATTACATAATTAAATAAATTATAAAACAGACAAAGGAGTATATTAATACTCTCGTGTTATAGTAAAATCGGTCTGGCACAATATGGTATCCAGCTCATCATACTCTATACCAGGCTGCTGGGCAGGACAGGTTAAAAAAAAAAAATAAAAACTTTAAAATTAAGATTATTAATAACCAGCTGTTGTGAAAACACTCTCGGAATTATAGAGCTACCGTTGGTGCTGGATTTCACACAATAAAAATGCAAACAATAAAACTAAAGCAAAAAAGCTGTGGTTTCTTCAACAACATTAGAGTTTAAATATAAAATTCACACTCTCCACTTTATCACCTTCTTAAGCCAAACAAGAATTACAACCAGCCATCCACTTCTTTACTCCCACCTTCGAGGCACAACACACACAATCTTATAATTCTGCTACTTAACAGTCTTAAAGGGTGTTCCTGTGGTACTGAAGAAAAAAGATCAAAGCCAAATAATACTAGAGTTTTGCTTAGTTTGTAGCTTTTAAACATGTTTGATGTACAGCATGTTGCGGTACACTGCCATGGAAAGTAAGCTCTTGAACTGGTGTCTTGAAATCAGTTTTGAGAGATACAGAAAGACAGTGGAGACATTAGAGAACTGATATTACCTTTGATTTCTAGTCCTACTGAAGATTCAGGTTTTGGTTAAATTGTTGTCACAGTCAAATCTGAACTTTCTTTTCTGTGGGTCAGGAAAAAAAAGGGGGGGGGATACCAGTCATAATCATATGGTAATATGATTCTGGTCATAATCGTAAGACAAAAAAAATCGATTTAAAGCTCCTTAAATGTCTTACAGTCACTTAATATGTGGAATTTCAGGCCAACATCAGTGATAAGTTGAAGATTTATGACCTGATCTTGCACATCCGAGACGGGAAATGCATGTACTATCAGTATCTCTGTCTCTGAGCCTTTTTCAGCCTTGGCAGATATTTCATCTGGCTCTGGAAGGTTTTGTGATATCCACAGATTTACACAGACAGGAACTTGTGTATTCTATGCGGCGGCTCATAGCCCATGTTCCCTGCAGTCTGACATTCTGCCTTTTGGGAGGAATTCACATTACATTTGTACAGTATTTTTGTCATTTAGCTGATGCTCAAATCCACAGAGACACAGTACAACAGAATGAGATTAAACTCAGAAACCTTTAGCAGCATTAGTGAAATATACTGTTTTCAAAATGCTTTCTCATGCATCACTTGTATAATCTTAACAATTTATACAAGAATCCACTGTAATGAAAATATTTTAATAGAGAATTGGCCCTCATTGGCTTAACCATCAAAAAATATTTTTTCTCTGCCGCTCATCACTGAAGAGCTTTTGACAGGTGACCGCTCTATCTCCAGCTTCCCCTCCAGCCCCCCTTGGTTAAAAGCATTGCTTCCTGTCCCTCCATTACATCCAGGTCTCTGTGACCTCCATCTCATATCAAGTCACCAAGCAATCAGCGTCCTATTCGTGGCAAGCATGTCCACATGAGGACCAGCTCTTATCTTCTGATTAGAAGTCTGCCGCTTGCACACAATTGCCATAAAAGAATCAGCCTTGAACGCCTCCTTTATCACAGGAATGTCAATAGCTCTTTGAAGCAAAAGCTCTGTTTTTGAGATTGCATTATTATCTGAGGACTACACTTTCTCCATTTAACTTTTCTCCAAGTTATTCTTTTTATAGAACAGGCAATGGTGTGAATGTCAAGTAGAGAGCAGTTTAATAAAACACAGTAGGTGTCATTATGACATTAGCTTTGAGGTAAAGCTTATATTAGATGAGAGCTAACAAACCTCACTGACTAATGGGGTTTAATAAGTGTAAACCATGTCAGACTGATTGCCTAAATCAAACAGGCTGCCGTTTGATAGAATGGCTCAGAGGAGGCTGTTCCCCCTGACTTCTTGCATGATGAGTGGACCATGAAGTAATGAACCACAGGGTCTTACGCTCTGCTGCTCTGCCTGAAACATAAGCTCTCTCAGACAATCCTCACCTTCAACTCTACAACATTTTGCTGAAACAGATTTCTCTAATTTGGAAGTGATTGTGTACTGTGTCCATGTCCTGCAACATCCTGTGCTTGTTTCTGGTGATATTTTTGTCTTTAACAGTTAACTTCCTAGTGTAAGGACAAGTAAGAGCAGCAATCCTGAAGGCAATATGGGTTTCAAGCATCATACCAGTGTGTTTTATCTTCTTAAATGATAAGACTGGTATTATTTTGTGTTTTTAGTGTTATCAACCAGTCACATGAAAAGATTAAAACAAACAAACCTAAGTAAAGGCACAAAATAAGCCTGATCATTGCCTGACTTGTCAGATGTTGGGAATGAAAATTAGGCAAATTTGTGATATTGGATTATGTAAATAAAATTGACTTAAAATTAGCAACAGGTGCAACAAATGCTCATTTCATCTTGTGTTAGTGTTTCATAGTGGAAGAAATCTGACGCAAGAATTGGGATGCCTCATGTCATCCCCACAAAACCAAAAAAAGCATTTTGCTTTATAATCAACTTTTACAATGTGTTGTGTGACGTTGGCAAAGCAAAAAAGGAATGATATTTTATTTAATTTCGCCAAACCTGTTAACATTTTATGAATACCATCTTTTCGGGAGCATTATGCTAATTAATCACACCTCTGAGCGCAACATCAGTCACTACACATGTATGCTGCGCTGACTGGAAAGACAAGGAGAACTCACTTTCACTGATAATGGATAATGAATGACTCCAGTTTCACTTTATTCAGAAAAGTCTGCAGACGTGTAAAAAGTCCTTCTTGTTGCTGACAGGTGAACAGTGGAATAGTTGATCAACTGTATGTGCACAAG